AGTCACGGGGTGCAGGCAGCAGCGGGGGCAGCGGGGAGAGCGCAGCCCTCGAGGAGCGTGTCCTGGCCGGGACGGTGGCCCTGCGCGGCGCGACCCGAGGGCGCACGGCAGGCGCGGCTGGAGGGCTCGGCGGGACGCCGGGGCTGGGGTCTCGCGGGCAGCGGGGCAGCGGCGGCTGCACCTCAGTCACTCACCATGCCCTGCTGCCGCTGCAGAGGCGGCGGCGAGGCGGGAGCGCAGCGGCCCGAGCGGGCGAGCGAGCCGGGCGCCGCCTGCACTAGTGCCGGAGCGTGTGCGAGAGGCGGCGAGGGAGACACACGCACTCACACACCCGCACACGCGGGAGCGTCGCGCGGGGAGGGCGGGAGGGAGCCCAGCCGCTCGCCGCCGCCCACGTCTCCACGCCTGGGCGCCCGGGTGGGGGACGACAAGACTCCTCTTTCCTTCCCCCACCCCCCTTCTCCAGGCACCCGAGGCTCCGCGTCACCAAAGCCCCGGACAGCAGTTAAAAACGTGGTGCACCCGGCGGGCAAAGAGGGGTTCCCTCCCCCGAACATGGCCAGAGTATCCCCTCTGGAGCCGGCTGGTGCAGGGTCAGACCGCCCCTGACAGTGCGCTTCCACCCTCCCAGAGCGTCCCACCTTACCTTAGCCGGGGTTGCGCGCTCCCAGAAAGGGAGTTAGGTTTCCGCAAGCCTTTGCCTCTCCCTAGTGGTGATGCTGGAAGCCAAGTTAAGAGGTCAAACCCATTGCTACAGGTTCCTAAACTGAGGCCAGGGTCAAGTGGCTCTAGGGAGACTATTGGGCCACCAAATGTGCTGAACTTAGGCTCCTTTCTCCTTCAGCGCGCACACGGGTGAGAGATAGCCCCAGCTCTGAGTGACATCTCAAATTTCCTCTTTCTTCAACTTTTTTCCAGAGTTGAAACTAGTAAGAACAACAACAAAAACCTATCCGCGTTTTTAAGATTTCTCTTGGAAATCCTGTGCTGAAATACCTGTTGTTTCTGGAGAAAGACGAATTGGGCGCTGTGGTGAAGGCGTTCCTTTCAGGTCTGCTGAGAAGAGTCTGACTTTCCAAGCTCTGAATCCACCCCAAGAGGGAGTCCCAGTCCCAGTTTGGTCTGTGCCCTCCCTGGAGTTGAGGGAGCAGGAGAAGCAGCCACAGCCAAGCCTCTGCCTGTGTTTCCTGAGTATTTTAGTGGAAGGCAGGAGACAGACTGTCAAAGTGACGGCAACGGAGAATTTTTCCCTGAAACTGTCCATCCAGTCCTGACTCAAGTGTGGCTCAAACCAAAGAAACAAATCCAGGAAAGACTGGCAGCAACGTAAAGGATGAATTGGAGCTGGAAACCAGATTCTAAGACACATGGGGACAGTCTTAGCCTAAGATGGAGAAGGGGTGCACCCACTCTGGCCCACTCTGCCAGGAAACCTCCCCTTGCTATCTCCATCCCCTCACTCTTGGCAATTCCTCCTATTCCCCCTGACTTCATCTCCTCTTAATGGTTCTGTTAAAAACATTTTTAGTGCCAACTCTGCCATGCACAGTAAGCGCTAAGATAAGGACTGAATAAGACAGTCCCTCTGCTAAGAAGTTCATTCCTTAAGGAGACAGTCAAATAATTTCTGCATGGCAGGATTTATGTCCATGACAAAGGTGGGCACAGAGTGTTCTAAGAGCAGAGGACAGGCATCTAGCCTAACCCCAGAGGGGAGCAGGAGGGGTCAAAGACGGTGCTCAGCGGGATAATAAACTACATGGTGAAGAATGTTTAATAGTTAGCAAAGCAAACATGAAGGTAAGGATGCTTCCAGCAGAGGGAAGAGCGAAAACGGGAAGAGATGAAGTGCTGAGGGTGTGTGAATTAGGTGTGCAGAATAGTAAGGCCCTTCGAGAAGCAACAGAAGGGTGACGTAACCCTGCCAAAGAACTTGAATGCATTTGATAATTGATGGGGAAATACTGATGGATTTTAATTAGGGGAAGACGACATCAGAATCACAGTTTTGTTGGCTCGCCTCATCTAATGGAATAGGGTACACTGAACTGGAGGCAGGAAAAACTCTTTGGGAGCCGTGCTGGTAATCCAGGGGTGAAATATGGAACTATAAAGTAGACTCTTGATAGTTGGTGACTATAGAGGAGATGGTATGCTTGGTCAGAAGAGCAGGTTCAGAACAGTTAGCAGTTATCATGCAGAAGTACCTTTGAGAGGTCTTCCTGACACTGCCCAGTACAGGAACGGAAAGCTCAGCAGAAAAAAAAATCTACTCAGTGCAATTTCTAAGCCATTCCCTCCATGTCCTCTTTGAGTTTCCACATCTCTTTCGTTATTCCAGAATTTTCATTTATGTATCTGGGAGCTCCCTTAGCAATAGGGAGATGAAATAATGTGGGAGGGATTCTAATGAAATTTGATCACTGAGAAAGGGGAATTGACTGGTTTATCAGACTCACCCCCACACCACCCTTCTGCCTCTCTGCAGGGCAAATGGGTTCTGAATTTCCGTGCTCTCATAGGGTGGCATCAACAGATAGGTAGAATGGGTAACACAGCAAGTTGAATAGGCTGTCCAAGGTTTCTACCCTGACTCATATTGCAGTACACTTTATCACTCTTTTTTATTAATACTTCCACGCCTTCCTGGTTCACTCTTTGAAGTTGACCAGTTTACTTGCCTCTATCATGCATCCTCCCCACCCTATCGCATTTTTCTTTTTGATTTCAGCATCAGTGTTGAAACATCCTTCATTTGTGGATTTGACTCATTAAAAAGCTCCAGAGAAGAAGCATCTTTTCTAAAACCTACACCAACTTCCCAAAGCCCTAAGGCTAAGGACAATTGTCCCAATCCCTAGCTCTAAAGGGTCTATTCAATTGTGCTGAGTGAACCATAATAGCCCTATTCTCTTTAAAATATTTTATTATTATTTTATGTGTATGAATATATTGCCTGCATGTATGTGAGTGCATCTGTGTCGTGCAATGCCAAGGACGTCAGAAGAAGGCATCAGATTCCCCTGGAACTGGAGTTATGGACAGTTGTTAGCCACCATGTGGGTGCTGGGAATCAAACCCAGGTCCTCTGCAAGAGTACGCAGTGTTCTTAACTGCTGAGCCAGCTCTCTAGCCCCAGTAATCCTATTCTCTTTAGCAATGATTGATTATAAATGTCCATGTGATCCATTTCTGGTTATTGTAAATAAAGTCTGTTGGGAGGAAAATGTCTCTGCTCTTAAAAATAGTGATAATTCCTCTCTTCTGAGTATTATTGCTCTGGATAGTTTCAAGTTGAAGTTGATATTCGGTGCGATAGTTGTTGGTGCTACTCACTAAGTTTCTCTACTCTGCCTTTCAGACCCATAGTAGAATTGCGATGCTTGGCCCACTTATGAATGAGAAGATAAGGTGAGGTGACTGGTATTGTTCAGCAAGCTGTGAACAGAATTGTGTGTGGTGTTTCTGAAGCAGAGCATCTAATTGCTGCTGCAAAACATTCCAGAGTCTTCATTTCCTTTTGACTTAGTGATCAGCAAGCTTCTGTGTAAGGGTGGTTTTGTCGGTCAGGGTCCTTACCTAAGCTCAGCACAGATAGCATGAACAATAAAACATATACTTTTGCTTTTTGAAGGCCACTAGAACTAAAGGATGCTTGTTTAGCATGCACTAGTTTTTCCTGGTTGATGCACTGAGGAAAATTAATGGAAGATTGGAACCATGCATGGAACTATGCTTAGAGCCCTCCCAACTCTGGTCTCCTAGCAATGTGAGACAAATTTTCTTTTGTTCAAACCTATCTGAATGCAGACGTTCTTTTAAATGTAGCCAAAAGCATTCCTAATAGATGAATCATATCTTGTCAGTCTTCATTCTGATTTTTCTCTAGGATTTCTAACAAACTAGGCAACTTTGTGCTGAATCTATCAGTTCTATGAGATTCAGTTCTCACCTTTACAAAATGGGATCGCTATTGCCTTTCCCCGTGAGTCTTTACCAAGGCCTCCAAGAATGAACTTGGCCCCAAAGCCCTGTGTGCTCTGGTCTCCAACTGTCCTTCTAAGCTCATCTCCCCCAACTCTGTCTTAACTCCCTCCCTCCAGGCACACTGGGACCTGCTTGGAGCCTTTGTATTTGCTGTGTTCTCTGCCTATACCCCCTTCTTCCAGACGTGCAGATTCTTTCTCCCATCCTGTAGGTTCTGCTTAAATATTACTGATGGAAATAGTACAATGACCCACCATCGCCAGGACCTCTTCCATCATGTTCTGTCAGTGCCTCCTCATGATAGATTTTCCATCACAGCATCACTGGTATGCATCCACTGAGGTATTTTAACCACTCTGTTCTCTTCCAGTTAGATTAGCTGCTCTTACTTGAGCTTTGTTGACTGCTATATTCTCAATGCCTACAACCATGCTGGGCCTTGGGTAGTCTGTGATGGATACCAAAAGACTCATCTCCAGCTGTCAGCTCCTCTGGAGTTTTTCTCAGCTTCAGAAGATCATCTCCCAAAGGAACATAGCCAGCCTTCTCCAAGGAACCCACATCTAGCTCCAGGTAAGAACTTTAGTCAGCTTGTTTTGTCTAAAGCCCCAGAGCTCCCTACATTCCATCTGCCCCGCCCCCTCCCTTTTCATTAGTGTTGTTCTCTTAAGACTAGCCTGCATGCCAAATTTTGTCTCCACATCTGCTTCAGAAGTTCTGGCCTTATACCACAGGCATTTAGAAATATGTGTTGGATGAATAAGTGAATGATTGAGTCTGAGTCCCCATTTCGTTTCTCTCAGTGGCATCCTTGTTAGTGATTGTATGGCTTTCTCTTTATCGTATCTAGACAAGTTTGAAATTATCTCCTAAGGCCACCAATTCTGATGTTAAATAGTTCTAATAGTCAGAAAATTGGAGTGCATTAGCTTTTGTTAATGTTGCTGATAGGCAAATCAATTTATCGGCTCATACCAAGCTTGCTGTTTCTAAAGTATTTTTCAAATTAGGATAATGTTTTGCATCCATGTGAAATGCTGCATAGATATTTTAGTTCATTTGGAAAAATTCAAGCCCGTTATTCCAGACTTTTAAGCATTTTGGAAGCTTCCCATGCACTAGACATCTCTTCGTGTAGAGGGCAGTTTTTCCTGCCTCCCAACATTGTTTTGCCTTCTGTCTAGCCACAGTCCCTAATCTTTAGCGTGGAGATTTGCTTTCCTCCAGCCTCACTGAAAGGAATCCACATGGAATTCTATGTGTCCCAAATTGAAGCAAACCACCTCTCAGTTAGCCTGGATATTCAGAGAAACCAGTGACAGAAACTCATGTTGTCAGATGGTCATGCAGGACTTGTGTGAGCAGGACAGGGAAAGAGGCACCCTCTTGTCTCTGCGATGGTACTGTGGTAAGCATCTCACCCTATGGAGAGAAATTCTAGTGCTAATGGTGTCCTCATGGGATTTAGTTATTTGTGTGTGTGCACATGTATGTGTCACAGTATGTCTGTGGAGATCAGATGACAATTTGTAGGAATCAGTTCTCTCTTTCTACCATATGGGTCCGAGGGATTAAACTCGAGTTGTCAGGCCTGCAGGCAAGAACCTTTACCAGCTGAGCTATCTTGCCTGCCCCATACTTTTATGCTACCTGAGAAAATATGTTCCTATTTTAAAATAGTTTCATCTATTTTAATGTGTATGACTGTGTTTCCTGCATGTGTGAAAGCATATCTGTGTGCCCACAGAGCTCAGAACGGGGCATTGGATACCCGGAACTGGAGTTACAGATGGTTGTTAGCCACCACGTGGGTGCTGGAAGCCAAACCTGGGTCCTCTGCAAGAGCAGTCAGTGCTCTTTACCACTGAGCCATCTCTCCAGCCCCAGCCAAGGGATCTTTCTTAAAACAACCAGTCTTATGGCTGATCAAACTAAGAGTTTAATCTAAAAGAAATAGTGTTGCCTTCCTCTGAGTGACCTAACATATCCTATGTAATAAATGAGCACTACAGCCTAGGGATAACAATAACAGGGTTGGTCGATATGTGGGGGACAGGACAAGTGAGTGCTCCTTCATAGCTGATGTCATCAGGCCACACCAATAGATTTAAGTGGAGGAGCTGCTGTTCACTAGAAACAATTGAAAGAAAGAACAGATACAAGTAAATTTATTGTTGGTGTGAAAACCCACATAAGGGTATAGCAAAGTCTGGGAAAGGATGTTCAGCCTGTGAAGACTGTCCCAGAGGATTAGTCAAGCTTAGAGACACAGTGTCCAAAGAGCATATCCATCTCAATCAAAGATTTGAACATTATCAGAAAAATATTATTCATTCTGGTAGACAAAATAATCTAGAGACAAGATGAAATGATCCAGGCAGTTATCAGCAGAAACAGCACAGTGCACAAGTTAGGGCAGGTAGCTGTCCTCTGCTCACAAGCATGACAGAACAAAGGCCTTGGTGTGGTAGTGGCAGAGAGTATTGGCAATGTGATGCCAGGAAGCTGAAATCAGGGACTAACCAGCAACAGTGCTCAAAAATTCAGGCAACTGAATCAATACTGGGAAGTGGATGGAAATTTTCAAGTTGCATATGTGTTACCTTGAGTGATTGTTAATAGTAGAGACTAGAGGAGCAGCTTGGGCACCAGAAGCCATTCTAGGTCTTAGTGATGTACTACAGACATAGAGTAGGCTAGCCCAACATATTGCTATGCTTTCTGTCTTAGAGATTCTGTATATGAAATCATGAGGAACAAGGAATGGAGTTTCAGAATACATGGGGAAAGCAGCTTTAAGGGGGCTGGAGAGGTGGGTTAGGAGTTAAGAGATGGCTGCTCTTGGAGAGGACCTGGGTTCAGTTCTCAGCACACACATGATGGCTAACAACTATCCGTAACTCCAGTTCCAGGGGATCTGATGCCCTCTTCTGACCTCCACAGGCATTGTACAACATAGGTACACTCACGTACATGCAGGCAATACACTCATATACATAAAAAACTAATAATAAATGAAATATTTTTTAAAAGAAGTTGGATGAGGGGATGAAACAGCACTCTTGTGGTAACTTTCTGATGGCCACACATCTTGTCTTACTCCTCTCAGCAAGAGTGGAGTCCATTTGTTCTCTTTTGAATCCAGAGCCCATCTCATAACTTGCTTTACCTCATAGAAGCTGACAGAAATGATATGCCAGGGATCTCTCCCTGAAGAGGCCTAGCAATCTACTTCTGCATTTTTGGAATCTAGCTACTCTGGAAGGAACTTGGATTACCCAGAATCCTGTTGATAAGATGCCACATGAAAAGAGATTCTAAAATTTGAGATACTAGCTTGAGCATTTCATTTCCAATTGCACTCCCAAGTGAATGCATCGCTGTTATCTGGATTATCTGGTTGAAGTAAAACCAGAAGAACCAGCCAGCTGAGCCCCAGTCAAGCCAGAATCACAAGAAGATAAATGCCAATAGGTGTTTTAAGTCATTAAGTGCTATGGCAGTTCATCACAAAACAATTATCAGCTAAATCAAATATCAGAGGCCAGACTCAAAGCAGAATGGATTAGGAGTAACTTCTGGCCACAGAGATATCTGAGGCCATTTTTGGTTTGCTGCTGTGTTATTTTCCTTGTGATGAATGAGAAAGCAGCACAAATTGAGAGCTTAAACAACTGAAATGTATTTGTTCACGGTTCAAGGAGTTAGCAGTTTCTGAGGGCAGGAAAGGCAGGATCCGTCCTGGCCTCTGTCCTTCGTCAAGCTTGCTGATGTGTTCATGTGGTACTACCTCTGTTTGTGTGTCTGTCTTCAAAACCTGCTCCTTTTTCTAAGAGCCTATTCACATTAGATAAGGGTCTAGTCTCCTGACTTCATTTTAACTTGACTGTATTTAGGAATATAGGGGTTAAGACTTTAATATATTAATGGGGGAAGGAAAGTCAGGGATACAATTGAACCCATGACACCTGCTAAGTGGAGTAATAATGTGGTTTATGCAAAACGCTAATACATTTTTTTTTATCTTTTTGAGACAGGGTCTCCCTGTAACCCCAGCTGGCCTATAACTCTGTGTGTAAACCAGGCTGGCCTCAATCTCATAGAGATTCACTTGCCTCTACCTCCCAAGTGTTGTGATTAAAGGCATGCACCACCATTCACAGCTAGTACAAATTTTTATACCAATACAGAAGAAAGGAAAAGAGGTCTAGTTAGTCATGATTTCTTACTGGAGACCTCAGAGAATGTCAACTTGGGTCAACCTGGGAATGATTAGCTTTATCCATGTCCTTTCCAAGACTCAACACAATTGCTCAGAGGAGATGAGGGAGATTTCATATCAGAAGCAGTGCAAAAGGCTTTTCCTGGTTTTCCCACTTAGCTAACAGAGCAATGGGAACATTGCATGAGGCATACTTAGAACTCAAATTGTGGCAACGCAAAGTTGAATGAGCACAGGGAAATCCACATTCTGTGGACTCTTTTTTTCTAAGCCAGACATGTAAAAGCAAGGATGACCTCAAATTATTCCTATAGCTAATCTTGCATGGGATTAACTCATCTCTGGTTCACTTATTTATTATTTATTTAGTCGTTTGATTACCATTTAACCAGTTACTGCTATGTGCTAGTCATTGGGTAGACCCTGAAAGATAAACACAAATAGATTATGCTTTCTGACCTACAATCCAGCACTCACCTTCTTGGAGCCTTCCTTCCTCCTATAACATCCTGTGAGGAAGAAGCATATTGCCTCCCTGAGAGCAGATCAAGAGTATCCTTTCTTCTGGCACCTTAGAGCATGGACATTCTCCATTATGTCACCAGCTATGGTATGAGAAAGAGGCCTTTGAAGATTTGAACCACTGTTGAGATTTGAACATTCGAACTGATGTTCTAGAAACTCAGTTAAATGGTCTAATATGAGGACCACATATTCACTCAATGTCTTGGCAAGTTTATAGAGAAACAGTCCTCCTTAAGGGGCTACTTTGCTATTGTGATCCTCTCGAACTCTCCAATGTGATTTTCTTCATATTGATGGAACATTAATAGAGAGTCATGCTGGTTAGAACTGATCCAGATATTTCTACTTAAGAATAAAGGGAAGTTAGCACCAAACCAGTAAAAGTTCTCCTAACGTGTGTGCGTGTGTGTGTGTGTAAATGAGTTCTGCATCTACAAACCTGTTTTGGGGCACAAGTCAGCTCATTTAGTTATGTGTTTCCTGGATGAGTTTGTAATGAACCATTTTCAACATGCACATTTAGCTGGGTCTGTAGAATATGATTTCTCTGCATAATATTGTAGCTCACTCCTGTTGCATACTATAACTACCCCCCTCCTGTGCCCACAGCAGACATCACTAATCAATTATAGAATCCTTTCCTGCTGAGACCAGTCATAGCCCCAGAAAGCTTTCCAACATACAAAGCTCCAAATAGTCAGCAGGCATTAACTATAGTTGGAATTAGCACAAAGAATAAATCCTATTTGCCTAACAGCTCAGTGAGAGACGGCAGTCAGAATAGTTCAAGCATGGTTCTATTATTTTATGTAGATATGGGTTTCAG